ATTGAAATGCAGGGTTGGGGCAAAAGGGTTCTTGGGATGCAAAACCTAGAATCACACAGAAATCGTAATGATAAAACATGAGAACCTCCAAGAATCGTAAAATTGAAGGGAGAGATTCATTACCGAGCTGACTCCAGCAGCGAAGAACGGAACAGGACCAGGTTTCTGATCAGAAGCTGAGCCCTTTGCAGCTCTATAAGCTTCAGGAGGCATAACACCATAAACCACAGAGACATTAACACCAGCTTTCTCAAAGACATTCCCGTCCTGCAACACACGACTGATTCCACCGCCACCACCAGGTCGAGACCAAACATCTTCTTTAAACTTAGGACCGCCTTCTATAGCTTCAATTGCATCACAAACACTGTCTTGAGCAGCCCTAATCATAGTCTCGAAACGAGCCCTGACGGAAGAAGAAGAAGAAGATGGAGTGACGTCATCAGAATCCCTAAGGAAAGTAAAGGGTCGTTCAGTTTCGGGAACTTCTTTCTCAATTGAGACTGAACATCGCAAGGCGAGATTAGGTTTATTTCTGATTGGACGGGAGAATCTGAGAGTAGAGGGATTGGGAGAATAATGAAGACGATGAGAGGAGAAAGGAGCGAAAGTAGGAGAAGAGAGGAGAGTCGACGAGTGAGAAGCCATGTTTGATCCGAATTTGGATTTGATGCTGAAGAAGAAGATGATGATGGAGAGATATTAAATGATAAGAAGTCTTCGTCGTCCACTGATTTTGACCGCTCTTCCTTTTTATTTAACAGCTCAAGGTAAAAGAAAAACACAGTTCCAGTCTTCTCAGACTAAACCACTTCTGAATTATTTAGCCGAAACCAAACCAGACACGAAATTAAAATTGCGGTTTAATTTGGTCGAACCGAAGATATTGATACACAATAGGCTCTTATCCTTCTTAACGGGCTTAATTGCCCAAATTAGGCCCAAAACGATTAGCCGGTTTACGGCACTATGCTATTTTGATGTGGATAAATCATGGTCATGTAATATATCTTTATCTATCGTTAGAATCTGTGATAAACAAAACAAAAGTGTATTATAGATTCGAATCCTATCTAATTATTATTTCAAATAACCAAATAGATGTAATTACAACCGTCTTATTCTTTCCAAAAAATAGTTAATCGCTGACAAAAGAAAATCCGGTTGGGCCCATCACGTTGTCTATATATTCATGATCATATAGAGAGTTCAGCCGCTTGACCTGCGAGGAATTCAAGAAAACCCTGCTTCACAGAGCAGTATTACACAAGAGACGAAAGAGCACTTTTAACCTTAGCAATTATATAGGTACCTTAGCTAGTTCTTCTTCGAATCTATACGATCGATATGAAGATTCTTCCGGTTGGATCACGGTTTTGTCCGACGGATCTAGGGTTGGTGAGGCTTTATCTTCGAAACAAGGTGGAGAGAAATCAGAGCAGTTTCATAACAACTATGGACATCCACCAAGACTACCCTTGGCTTCTTCCTCACGTAAACAATCCTTTGTTCAATAACAACGAGTGGTACTACTTTGTTCCGCTTACTGAACGAGGTGGCAAGATATTAAGCGTACACCGGAAGGTAGCCGCAAGAGGAGGAAGCGAAGGCGGCACTTGGAGAAGCAACGATGGGAAAAAAGAGATCAAGGACGGACACATGCAAAAGGGTGATGGGTTACGAGCAGTCTTTCACGTACCACAGGAGAGTGCATGGAAAGCTTGTCAAGACCGATTGACAGAAGATGGAGTATTCTCTTCACTAGAGTGATGACCTCCAAAAGGTTGTCTTGTGTCGGATCCGATACAAGAAAGAGGCGAACGTCAACGAGTTTGGACTCGTTAACCATCAGGCTCATCAGACTCAGGTGGCGGAGAACACCAACAACATCTTACGGAACCAAGTAGTGTAAGAAGAGGATGCTTTAACCGGTTTTGCTGATCAGCTTGAGATGATGCTAGAGGGACAAGAAGACCGTGAGCAGAAAGAAGAGGCTGATTTAACCGGTTTTGCTGATAGCCTTGAGACGATGCTAGAAGGACAAGAAGATCATGAGCAGCCAGAAGATGCTGATTTAACCGGTTTTGCTGATAGCCTTGAGACGATGCTAGAGGGACATGAAGATCGTGAGCAGCCAGAAGAGGCTGAATTAACCGGTTTTGCTAATGATGACCTTGAGACGATGATGCTAGATGGAGAATAATCTCGCGAAGTTACTCAACAACAACAACAACAACAACAACAACAACAACGTCAAGAAGATTGTGACGTTACTCAAGAGCAAGAAAAAGATGATGTGATGGTACTGATAAACAATCCTAATGATGCCCTCGCATTGGGGAATTATGAGATTATTGATCTAACTAGGGTTGATAAATGATACGACACAAACCAGAGAGGATAGAATTATATTTTAGTGGGTTGAGTTGATATGTGACAAAGATTACTATAGACATATGGTTAGTGTATTTGTGTAACTCCGGTAAAGGAGATATCATAAAAATAGTGGATTTTCCGGGGTAAAATTCTAGTTTAACGAACTTTATTTTAGTTTGTACTTTTGTTTTTCCATAACTCTACAATTAATATAGAGTTGCAGCAGTAATGTTAACTATTTAGCTATGAATTTCAATTGTGTACTTAAAAGTAATGTTTTTGGTTTTCAAAGATTATAAAATTCGAAAATACTAATTGTGATTTGTGAGTTCCATTGATAAATAAGCAAACATAAAGGACCAACAAATGTTTTGAAAACCAAAAAAAATGGTGGTTGTGGAGGTTGGGGCACATGAGAGCGTTTTTTTGACCAAAGTACGTAACAGAATCAACTTCTTCACTTGCCCGGTGGTTTCATTTTCCTTTTATAAAAAGACAAATATGAACTCATTTCCTCTAAACTTAATCACACCATGGCGGCTCAACTTCAACCTTATAACATCATCGAGACCTGTCACATCTCTCCCCCAAAGGGCACCGTTGCATCCACCACTCTTCCTCTCACCTTCTTCGATGCCCCCTGGCTCTCTCTCCCACTCGCCGATTCTCTCTTCTTCTTCTCTTACCAAAACTCAACTGAATCTTTCCTCCAAGACTTTGTACCCAACCTCAAACATTCCCTCTCCATCACTCTCCAACATTTCTTCCCTTACGCCGGTAAACTGATTATCCCGCCTCGTCCCGACCCTCCATATTTACACTACAACGCTGGCGAAGACTCTCTTGTTTTCACCGTAGCAGAGTCTACTGAAACCGACTTCGACCAACTGAAGTCTGATTCCCCTAAAGATATCAGTGTGTTGCATGGCGTCTTGCCCAAGTTACCTCCTCCTCACGTCTCTCCGGAAGGAATTCAGATGCGACCAATAATGGCAATGCAAGTCACCATCTTCCCTGGAGCTGGAATCTGTATAGGCAACTCAGCTACACATGTTGTAGCAGATGGAGTCACCTTCAGTCATTTCATGAAGTATTGGATGTCATTGACCAAATCCAGCGGCAAAGATCCGGCCACGGTTCTTCTACCCTCTCTGCCTATTCACAGCTGCAGAAACATAATCAAGGACCCAGGAGAGGTAGCCGCAGGACATTTGGAGCGGTTTTGGAGCCAAAACTCTGCAAAACACAGTTCACATGTTACGCCTGAGAACATGGTCAGAGCCACTTTTACATTGAGCCGGAAGCAGATAGACAATCTCAAGAGTTGGGTTACAGAGCAGTCTGAGAATCAATCTCCTGTTTCTACCTTCGTGGTGACTCTAGCTTTCATTTGGGTAAGCTTGATTAAGACACTTGTTCAAGACAGTGAAACAGAGGCCAAGGAGGAAGACAAGGACGAAGTCTTTCACTTGATGATCAACGTGGATTGCAGGAATCGTCTCAAGTACACACAACCAATACCACAAACATACTTTGGCAACTGTATGGCTCCTGGTATCGTATCAGTCAAGAAACACGATTTGCTAGGAGAAAAATGCGTCATGGCTGCTTCAGATGCAATCACAGCGAGAATCAAAGATATGTTATCAAGCGATCTGTTGAAGACAGCACCAAGATGGGGACAAGGAGTACGTAAATGGGTCATGTCCCATTATCCAACCTCAATTGCAGGAGCTCCGAAATTGGGACTGTATGACATGGATTTTGGATTAGGAAAGCCCTGCAAAATGGAGATAGTGCACATAGAAACAGGTGGTTCTATCGCATTCTCAGAGTCCAGAGACGGCAGCAATGGAGTTGAGATTGGAATAGCACTAGAGAAGAAGAAAATGGATGTGTTTGACTCACTTCTACAAAAGGGGATCAAGAAATTCGCAACGTAGCAGCCCCTTTCTCATCCAATAACTTGTAGCAACGAAATGATTCAACACAAAACCGAAGTTGTTCAGTCCCACGAATCATAACAAGTCTATCCGTTCCACCAACGCTTTTCATATTGTTTAATATCCATATCCAACCTCATAAATACGGGCAAAACATACTCTTTGTCCGAAAACAGAAACTCAAAACAAGAAAACAAAAAGATAATATAAAATTGAAAGAGAATAATGTAGTGATCTTGTTTAACTCAAGTCTCATGGTTAAGGAGACCAAAGCTGATGAGAACACTGGTAATTTATGAGTTTTTTCAGACTACAAGCACTAAGAAAACAAGTGCAAGTGTATAGTTTAAACTCAAATAGATTTCAATAAAAGCGATAAATGAATGAGAAAGTCTCAGTAAAATCCATTGAAGTCAAAGAAATTACAGCTTCTGCCAAGGGGTTCTCCCTGTAAAACAGGGTCTCAGCTCCACTGCACCTCGTAAGATTGGATTAGATCCTCATCGACATTCCCAAGAAATAATAACTCAGAAGAAAGACAAAATAGCAATGAAAGGCTCGGATAAGAATACAGCTTTTTCGATCAAGAATTATCTGAAGCAGAACTGGCGTATCAAGCTGTTACAATTCATCATCCCAGCCAATCAAAACACAGAAACCCATATAAAAAAAACAAAACTTTGGCTCATATTAAGAAATTCAACCATGTATTTACCGTATCTACTTCATTGAATAATCTCAGAAGCGCGGGTAAGTTTATAATCATTGCCACATAAACAAACGTTGATACCAACTCGATTCCATCAACAAACACAGCTCAAAGCAAAACATACATAGAAAAGAGAGATATAGACGCTTTTTTGACACAGAAAAGCCTAAGGAATAAGGCAAATCTGCAACACAAACGGCAAAAATAATCTAGCAGGAGCTTTGGGGCTTACTTCTTCAAGTACCTTAGTTATCAGATTAGCCCGGGAGGCTCCTGCTAACCACACTATATATATATAATCAAACCCTAAAGCGATTGACGAAGAACCCAAATTCTAAAGATCGATTCTAATTGTACGACACAAAGCAAGGAAGAAGATGACTTAAATAGCACGCGGCTGGTCAAAACCCTAGCCTGATTCTCTCTATGCCAAGAAGTCGAAATTGCCCCCGTTAGTTTATTGTTGCGGTTAGACGTTAACCGGCCCCCGTTAGGTTTGTGATGGCTCAAATATGCCCGGCCTTACAAAATTCAAATTCATATGCGAATGTTATGCCTTAACTTGTTACAAGATCACAAATTACAAACTTCTTTTGCAGGTATTTTTGCATATTATTTTCTTATAATTTAAGAATAGTATTAAGTATAATTATACAACCTTGATTTCGAAAATTGTGTATGAGCTTACAAAAATTTCATGAGCATGGTAATATGTCAATCTTTGAACAAACACCAACTACTACCTGGTGAAACCTTCACTCCACTCTCCTTCATCTTCAATCTAAGTCTCTCTGCCTCTTCTTGTCTTCCAACACTCATATATATCTTCCCCAACAACACATAATTCGCGGGATTCTCTGGCTCTACCATCAACAATTCTCTTGCAGCAATCTCTGCTAGCTCAATCTCACCGTAGTTCCTACAAGCTCCAAGCAAAGCCCCCCATGTCTTAGCCGTTGGCTTCTCAGGCATAGCTTGAATCACTTTATAAGCTTCTTCAAATCTCCCTACTCTGCTTAAGACATCCACCAAACACGAGTAATGATCCTTGCTTGCACGCAAACCGTAATCTCCCTGCATTCTCTTAAAGTATACAAGAGCCTCATCAGCTAAACCAGCGTGACTACAAGCCTTTAGCACGTTCAGAAACGCTATGTCATCCGGTGTTACTTTCGCCAATTCCATTTCTTGAAATGTTTTTAGAGCAGATTCCGCGTCACCGTGAAGTGCATAAGCGGATATCAAGCTACTCCAAGCAACCACATCCCTATCGTCCATGCTATCAAACACCAATTGCACATAGACAATGCTTCCACACCTCCCATACGCCTCTACTAACCCGCTTTTCAACTGAGGGTGCGGCTCAATTAGATTCCTAAAAGCATATGAATGGATCTCTTTTATTAAACGAAAAGCCCCAATGGCTGAGCAAGCAGATACTAACGCAAGAAGGGTAATCAAATTAGGCTTGAATCTAAACTCTATCATCTTCCTATAGAATTCAATAGCTCTATAAGACCCATCTTCTGTACCAACTAAACCCTTTATGATAGCATTGAAAGAAGACTCATTTGGCATAACATCCATAGCTTCATACAACTCCACTGCTTCCTTAACCTTCCCACAATGTGTGTAATGCGAAATCATCGCGTTCCATACTACCGCATTCCTCTGAGGAATTTCGTCGAACAGTTTACGAGCATGAGAAACAGACAAGCATTTACCATACATATCGAGTAACGCGCATCCAACAAATGGGTTCGACAGAAAATTGGATTTGACGGAGTGTGCATGGACTGATCCACCGAGAACAGGACGGAAAGCTGCAGCGCACGATTTGAGAGCGAGTGAGAAGACGTGTGCATCGAGAGGTAAGGCGAAAGAAGAATGCATTTGAAGAAAGAGATTAAGAGCTTGTTCATGGTTTCCTTGGTTCGCGTAAGAGCTTAATTGTTTGGTGAGAGAGATCAATTTAGTGCAGCTCGACGCGTACGAAGAAGACATGGAGTGGTGGAGATAGAGCTTTCGGTGTTGGCGTCAGCCTTCAAGAAATACAAATTAGTTTGTTGTTAAATAGTTATGTTCTAAACAACCAAACAACAAAGTCGTTGTAGTATAGTGGTAAGTATTCCCGCCTGTCACGCGGGTGACCCGGGTTCGATCCCCGGCAACGGCGATCTTTTTTATTTTCGGCTGTACAAGCTAATTGGGCCTTATTCTTGGTCCCCTATAAATATGGCCCTATCAATGCCACTTCACTGACGCTATACGGCCCATAAAAGCCCACTGCACGTCACTTGTTCTTAATTCATGTGTTTCGAAGAAATTTCTATAACCAAAAATTTATAATCAAACAAAACAATATACTGTACAACGTTATATTTTGCGTCATCAGTAGATAACTTCAAGAACACTGTTTTCGCCTAAATTCTTCAGAGGAAAGTGTTTGAACAAGCTCCTGCAACCTCTCAGAACCAGGTCCTGGTTTCAACACCGAGTCGTCACCTTGCACAGAGCACTGATCATTGCCATTAGCTGAACTCCCGACACACCATCCTCCTGGTGCAAACCGGTGTGTCCGTCCCAATAGCTCTTTATCGATCTTGTCTAACGCAGGATCGTTTTTGTGGAACTTGCGTGCAAATGGAGCTTTGCTCTTGACCATATTGTCAAAATCCTTCAACGAGAGAGATCTAGGGTGTTGCTTTGGAGGACTGTCCCAAGCAATGTAGTGAAGGTCGTGACCGATTGCAGTGTTGATAAACTCTTTGCTGTTGCAGATTACTGTGTGGAAGTATCCTTCAGGAGAAGATACGAAATTTGTGTAGTACATTAGTATTGTTCTTGGGAAATTATCCCATCCCCAAATGCAGTACTCGAGGAAAGACCGAGTCAACATTATCCAAGCTGAGCCTGCAGAATTAAGACATAAATCATCTTCAAACATTTCATAATCTTTCTCACAGATATGAAACTGTGAGATTAAAGAAGATAACCAGTGAATAGCCTGAAAGAATTTGGAAGTGATCGCCGTTGAGTAGTCCAAGCGATATCGGATTTCTTCGATAGGTATAGGGCAGGATCAACAATGATTGATTTAGCCCTCTGATTCCTGCTAAGAAATTCCAAGTAAGTACAGATGCTTTGAGATTCTGGTGTGACTCTGAATAATGAAGCATGGTTATACTTACAGTTTCCATCCGGTGAGCTGCATATTCTCGATGAAATTGACATTCCGAGACAGATTTGAGAAGACATACAACAAATCTACAGAAACAAAAAGAAAAGCCAAAATTATAAGTCACAACTAAATATAAAGCTCAAAAGGATCATAGACTACTAAAGCATTATAGAGAGAGTTACTAACCATCTTGTGTTACTAGAGGATAATCCGAGGCACTAAGGTTAAGAAACCAATCCCAATGTAAGCTTTCTCTTAGCAAGATTGAAACGGCTTGAAGAGTACAAGCAATCATTGTAGGGCCTTTATAAGTAACAAGATTAGACTGAGCCATCACACGAACATTCTCCATTTCACGGAAAGTCGGATCAGTCTTCACGGAAATGGCCAGCTCCATCCGTTCTCGAGGTGGAGCCTCAAGATCCAAATGCAGAACATACTGGTTTCTAGGATGGTACACAGCTTGTAAAGTCCTCATCATCCTATGACTATCGCCTTTTGTTCCCGATATTAAATAAGCTAATCTAGGAGGCTCTGGATTAACATCAGCCGTCGAATTCATAGATTGCTTGAAATCTGATTCTACAAAGTAGTCATTAGACTCTGAAACAACATCAACTGGTAATTGATCTTCTTCCCCAAAGAAGTTGTCGAATTGGCCAGAAATTAACAAAATCAGAAGAGTAATGGACATGATCAAGCTAGCTAGAAAAGGGAACAACCATTTTCTGTCGCTGAAAGCTCTAAACCCTGAATGTGAACTAACATGTCTCTTGACCCTAGCAAATGGGTCTCTGAATGAAACCAGCTTCCTATACAATTTTCTCATTCCCTAACCACTTATCCTATCCAACGAAGAAACCCAATTCAGATATGTTGTCTTCTATAGAATACCAAATTAGCATCAAAGATCGAATCTGATTACAGATTCAAATCAATATAAGGATTGATGCGAAAACGATTACCAGAGACCAAGAGGAGACTTGCAACAAAGTTTCCGAATTGGGCAAGTTCAGCAAAAATTGATTTAAAAGAGAGGACCTTTTTAAAGAGATAAAGAACATCCACTAGGGAATCAACAATCCAAAGGCGAAAGCAATGGCTTTTAGTCGAAGCTGAGTCAGATCTAATCTCCAAATCGATTTCAAAAATGAAACAGACAGCAGAAGAAGGCCAGAGATACTTCAAGTTTAAGTCTTGAAATTACCTTAAAGAGACAAGACACGTCCGCTGAAAGAGACAGACGCTAAAGAAGATAAATTCGGGTAGCAGAAAGAGACAGGAAAAGTGTTTACAACTTCTGATTGCAATAACTCAGAACTGGGCAAGAGAGAAATATGAAAGTTCAATCCTTTGAAGAAACAGAAATTTTGGTAAAAATGAAGTTGTCTGTAGATGCAAAGCTGTCTTAAAAGAGAAAATGTGAAATCGACGCGGGGAAGAAGAGAGAGAGAGATACAGAGAGAGACAGAGAGACATGGCAATTAATTTAAACATCAAACATTTCGTGGTGTTAAGCTTTAATAATTGTTGGCAAAATCAAAATCAATCAGTAGAGAATTTAATGATCATGTACGACTCTCAAACCCTTTACAAGCGATGACGTACACGTGGCATTATCAACTCATAATAATACGTTAGATAAGTAACGAAATTAACGGCGAGAAAAAAAAAACACTGTTCTTATGTTGCTGCCTAATTCACTGCTAGTGAGTATAGTCTATTCTACTCTATAGCCAGTTTGACTTTGGTGGTACAAGGAGAAGGAACAACAGAGAAATCAAAGTTCGTTTTACTGTTATAGAGAATGTGTAAAAAAAAAAAGATCATAATCATACAAAAACTGGCATACAAAACTAAATATAGCCTGGCTATGACACA